CTTACGACAAAAAAAAAAAACAAGCGCCTCCCACTCAAGAGCGCCATCCACGCCGATGCTTCCTTGCCATTGCCCAGCCCCCCCCCCAGGAGCACAAAATAAAACGACAAAACACGTCTGCCCCCGCGCCGCTACAGCAGCGACATGAACGCATCCGTGGGCCTCTACAGCGCTAGCGCTGCACTTTCCTTTGTTGCCGCTGGCCACCACTTCCAAGCGCAAGTGACAGGTGGGCGCGTGCCACTCAACCAAAACATGATCGCGGTGATGCTAGAAGTATCGCGATGGCTAAGCACGCGCCACAGCGACGACAGACGAAGCACGACTAGACAGTCATCATATACGATGCAGCCGCACTCTCACGACAAATCTGCACCTCGATGGCCGCCCTCAGCATTGCCAGGCCCACGCCGCCGACCGACGCCTGCATCGCACGCGAAGAGGACACGTCGACAACAGCTAACACGACGGGCGACCGACAAGCACGACCACCAGCACTGCCACCAACCAAGAGCACCCCATTTGCCACAAAAACAAGCACCTACATCACCCCCGCGACCAACGATGGCGAGCGTTCCAACAGTCGCAGATGAGACCGCCGACAGACCCGCAGAACCGCCCACACTACCGACGACCAAGTCTACATCGCCAGCCAAGAAGCCACCACCAGCACTTTCCATGTGCATCGTGTTTTCTATCATACAACACAGCGCCTACCTTATCCCCACTACCAATCATGACGAGCACTCCGACAGCCGCAGACCATCAGACCCACGGGGGCCGCCCGCGCCACCGACGAACAAGCACGCGCCATCAGCCGAAAAAACACCGCCACCACCCCCCACATACGTTGCAAACAAGCAACCACCAACTACCGAAGACCATCCTCGCCACCGCTGGCTGCTCGACCGCAGACGCGCCAGCTATGCCACGCACAGAGGCCATCTCCACATGGCCACCTAAAGCGAGAATCGCAATGCCCGTGCACCCACCGCCACCAGCGCCCCACATGCCAATCATCTGCCCGCCCGACGAAGAAGCACTGGCATAGCGACGGCTGCAGGAAGTGTCATTGCATTCTGGTGCGCCACAAACATACGCCGCCATTCAGGCCTACTCTCCAACCCGCGTACGCGGCGTCTTCCACGCACAACATCTACGCCTGGCTGGACATGCGGCGCAACGTCGCCGAGAACCGCAGAGTCATTTCCGTTCACAACAAGGGAGACCCGCGTGTCCACGACTGCATGGAAGCGATCCGCTCGCACCAGACGTTGCGGGCAGAACCTCGCCAGCCTCTGCGCAAGCAGCGACCGGCCAGAGATGCCCCTCAAGGAGTCCCAGTTCAAGGTAATGCCGCAACTGTCCAAGATGCCGCCCAAACCCAAGCCGCAGACCAACGACTACGACAACAACGGCGCCGCCTGAGCAAGCCACAACGGACTGCATGCGCAAGGAGACACCGCGCAACATGCCGCGACATCGGCCACAAGTACCACCCGTGCCCCGACTACCGCAGAACATGGACTACTGACCCCCTCTTCTCCTCGCAGTCGGCAAGTCAAGGGGCCAGCCGCAGTGGGCGCAACAATTTCCCAGTGCCATGGGTACTAATTTGTTCTGGCATCACAGGCGCCGAGCTCCCTCTATACCTCGCACGCGTTGACCTCCGCCCCCTTCGCTCGCCCCTAGTTGGGCCGCGGCCATTTTGACGCGGCGGTAGGGGGGTCGACGCTCCAACGGTGGACTACTGACCGACCGTCCCAAGCGCGTATGCCTCCATGTATGTTTACTTCCGCATGCGTTGCACCGTCATTAATCCCGTGGTGGGAAGGGTCTACGCTGCATTCTCACCATGCTCGCCGTTTCATAGCAGCGACACAGACCCAGCAAGTTGAGATGTATCTTTGCTCGCCAAGGGTTAACAGCCCAAGACTTGTGCACTGGCTGCTCAATAGGTAACGGCGCCAGAATTGCTCGCTCAACAGCACCTCTTTTTTTGTCTCCCCACTGTCTCCACCTGCCGCACCCCTGTGTCAACCGGCCATTTGACCTTGCCGCGCAAGCCAGCTTGGACCTCCTCTCCCCCCCGCCCCCCCCCCCCGGGGGCCGCGCCATGCCGGCAAATCAGGACGGCTGATGCCTTGCGCGCCACTTGTATGCATGCGGCATCGGTCATATTCCCCTTCGGTTGCTCACGGCCCCTGCTCTTTTACCTCTCCCGTCGTTGTTGCTTGCTCCGCGATGCATTCGCGCCTTCGTCGCGCGTCTTTAGAGGCCTAGGTTGGCAGCCCAAGAATTGCGCGCAGACTGGATTTGCTCGCTCCGCCTGCCCTTCGCAACGCGCCCTCAACCGAGCTCGAGGACGCGCGAGCAGTTTGCCCGCGAGGGGGGGATCTCAAGTCTTACCTTATCAGGAGGTACTGTGCAGCTGCAAGGGCGTTCTACAGTCTGCATTCTATTTGCGCAGGTCTGCCTCAAAGCCAGCCTCTGCCGCCGATGCCAGCGCGCATGCAGGCCCCTCTGCTTTTCTTTTATCTTGCCTCCGCGAACAGCCTTTCCCGTCCCCCCCCCGGCGCCCCCCCCCCCCCCGCGGGTGGCGGCTCAAGAGTTAGCCGGCGCACTCGCCGGCCGTTCTTACGCGGGCCAGCCAAATATATACGCATGGACACAAAGGGCTCCTGCCCAACTCGGATTGCATTTATAACGCACGGGCCCCGGGACGAAAGAGGCTCCGGGCGCGCCCCCAAACCCCGGGCAGCTACCCGAGATTGCTATACATTGCCAATGCCGTTTTGCCTTGTCGCCAGCTTGGCCAGGCCGCCCGCGCACTGCGGGCGGGCGACCTGCAGAAGTCAGACGGCCTCGCGCCTGCCTCGAACCTTTGGCGTCGAAGCGCTGCGTTTTCTACATCGCACCAGTGCTTGGACTGCCCCGACGCAAACGGCAATTTTCGTTTTGTTTCCCTTGGGCTGAGGCTGCATCTACAAAGGAGGAGCCCGCGTGCTTCGACGAGAAGGAGGGCGACTTCGCGCCAGCCTCAGCCCTCTAGCGTCGCAGTGCCGCTCTTTTTTTATCCCCCCCGCATCTGCATGTAGACTGCCCTGGCGCAAGCGGCGCTGCTCCTTTTTCTCCGGACAAGGCTGCGCCCGTGGCCAGACTGCATTTGTTTCAATTTAGCGACCGATTGCAAGCTCACCGGAAACTGTGACTGCTCGACAATATCCTTGCGAAGGCTTGGTGCACGACAGGGGCAGGGGTGAGGGCGGATGACTTGGGCGGCGATGGCCGGCGCAATTCTGACTGCGGGAAGCAGCCGCAGAATTGCACGCTGATTTGTTTTGTCTTCAGATTTGGGGGCGCGCGAGCAGGTTGCCCACGGAGGGGGGCCTCAACCCGACTGCTTGTTCCAGCAGCGCGATGCGCCAGAACAAGTGCGCTGCGCGCAGGCAGCACGACGCACCGAGCCAGCCAACGCTGCGCGAGCCTACAGCTGGAGGATCGCAACGCCACGCTTCTTACATCGCATCTGCATGTCATGTGCCCCGCTTTTGCCGCCGAATTCTGACCCTCCGCAATCAATAACTGCTCTACCCTCGCGTGCCTCAGGCATGGTGCACGACGCGGATGGGGGGCGGCGCGCGCGGGGGCGGGGGCGGGGCGGGGCAGGGTGGGAGGGGGGGGGGGGGGGGGGGGGGCGCCGTTCAGGAGGTGGGGGGCACGTCTTGCTTACTAGGGTAGCAGCCCAAGGATTGCCCACGCTGCACTGTTGCCTTCTTGCTTAGCACGCAATAGAGGCAGCGCGTACCACTAGATCTCAAGGTGCTTACTTTTTAAAACAGTTCTGGGGACTTATCACACTAAGGTACATGCTGTCATCTAGAGCCTGGCCAGGCGGGCGTGCATTCTTCTGTCGTGTTCTTTCCTCCGCGGCGCCCGCCAGGTACTTCGCGCGCCGTGTCGCGCCTGCATTATGCAAAGAACGCTACAGCTTCACAGCGCAAGCCCGATCAATGCAAACAATGAGGTGGAGAAGGCAGCCTCGCCTTCGTCGCCCCGGCGCAAGACTTGGGCCGCCGCCGACGGTCGACCAGCTGAGCTTCGCGCCGGCGTCGTTGTCGCCGCTGTAGTCGTCGTTGTTGTGGGTCGGTCGATTGGCCAGACAGCCGCTCGGTCGGCGGGTCGGTCAGTCGGTCGGACGGACGGACGGTCGGTCGTTGTCTTCGTCGCCGTCGTCGTCGAGGGGGGAGAGTAATGGGGCGAACGCCGAAGGACGCACCGCGACGTGTCATTTTCCCGCCCGCCCGACGCGGCCCGCCCGCCACGGGCGCCCGCGTGCCAGGCAAAGGGGGGCGCGCCACGGCGTGCCCTAATGTCGCAACCGCCCGACCCGACCCGTGCCGCCGCGGACGCGTTGCCCGCCCGTCTTGAATTGCGTCCTAGAAAACATGAAGGCTGTCGTCTACAGCAGTTCCTTGCAGACATTACATCCCGTGCAGTGCGGTGGCAGGTGGGTTTCTCCGATCGCGTTCGTAGCCATTTTGGCTCACAGAGCGGTTGCAGCGTTGGAGATTTTGACGCACTTGCCAGCGAAACGCTCGTTCACGGACACACGGCCGCCCATTTGGACCGTTCATCGCTGGCCCCGGACGGAAGGGGCCCTCCCCAGAGGAGCTTGCAGCCGCAAGCGCTGTCAGCGACGCAGTGCGATTGGCAGGAGTTTCGGTCCCCGCTCGCAGCCTTCCTGGCGAAGATTGGAGCGGACGGGACCAAGCACGTTTGCCTCTTGGGAGCTACGTGCAATCAGTCCGCATGGACGGGGAGACCGCCGATATCCCTCCCATTCAGGAGTGCGCGGTTTTTCTTGCCCACCGCGACGCCCGGCTCGCGCGCGGCCCCGCGAAGCCCATGCAGGAGCAGCAAGGCGACGCTGATGAAGCGCGTCAGCAAAACAGGCTGCCGTCGACAAGAGCCTCGCGAACGCCCTCGCGGTCGCCCAGGCCGCAGCGGCTGCGGCGCAGGCGGCGCAGGCGGCAGCGTCTTCGCACTCCAGTTTCTCAGTCGAAACCAGGCGGCGCGGAGTTCCAGACGGTCATCAGCGAGACCTGGAAGGGGCCCGGGGCCCATTCAGCCCTTGAGCGCCGAGGCGGTCAAGAACCACGTCGCCAACTTCTGGGTCGTCTTCGACAAGGGCCCTCCCCGGGACGAAGAACGAACTCCAGTCCAACTGGCGGGACTGATTTGCGCCCTCGGGGGAGCTGGCGCCCCGTCCTTCGATTTCGGGGCGCGGGGCCGGAACCGTCGGCGACTTCTGCGTCGAATCCGTTATTCTGGGGCGAAGTTCGGCGCAGGGGGCGCTCTCGAAACGGTTGAACTTCTGGGGCCGGCCAATTTCCATGCCTGCGATGAGAGTTGCCAGCTCGTCATAGCTGGCACGATCGGCTTCGAGGCCGTCTCGCTGGGCAACCTCGCCAACTGCGCCACGAAGGTCAAAGGCTCCTACGACTTATATGGCCAGGAATGCTGGGCAATTCTATATCAAGATGATGTCCGGGCGAGGCCCGAGGAGATGGAGCGGCCCCGGCGCCGCTTGGGGGAGAAACGCGCCAAACCCACCGACGGCAGGGGCAAGTGCGACAAGCATGGCCCCAGCAGGCCTTGGAACTCCATCTGGGCAGCCATCGTGGAGGACAAGGACGGCTCCTCGCAGCGCGAGGTCGAGCGCCAGTGCCAGCTCTACCACTCGGAGATCAAGTCCAAGCAGTCATTCATCGACGGGGGCGCCTCGATCGAGACGGCGGCCGGCTCGGGTGCTATCCCGAGCAGGGGCGGCAGCGCCGCTCGGCCAGGCAAGCGCCTCGGCGAGCGGGGCGACGACGCTGGCGATCGCAGGGTGATGCCCGGGTTCGAGAAGAGCTGCTGCGTCGCAGGTGGCCTCTTCACGCGCAACCGCCGCGACATCCGGCTGCGCGCGGATTTCCAAGAAGGGGCTTGCACTCGAGTCGGCACCCGAGGTCGCTGTGCCAAGGGCCCCGGCGCGGCGCACCAGTGCGCAAAATGCTTGGACCATAGGCATAGGGCATTCCATCCCATGGAGTGCCAGGCGACGCACTGCGAGCCTCCCGCTCGTGACCCTCCACCGGGCGGGGGCCGCGGCTTTGGCCCCGGCAGGGGCCGCGGGCGCGGCCGCTGGCGATCGTCGAGACAGCCGGCGCCAGCGGCAGCGCCGACCCCGCAGGCTACGACGGCGGGCAGGCCGGAGCCAGCTGCGGAAGGCGCTACCCCAGTGCCGCCAGCGCGGCGCCTCGTGGGGCCCCCAGAGTTCCCGGCAGTACCTGTGCGAGGTCATCATCAAGAAGTGGGGCACCCTGCAAAGGCTTCTCGGGGCCAGCCGACACGCCCCGACGGGAGTCGAGGAGCATGTGAGGAGGCGGGACAACGACGTGGACATGTTTGACACTGCCGACGGCGACGGCACCCACGACATCGGCGAGGACGTCGTGTATGAGGCGTTGGTCAGCCAGATCCGCCATGCCACGTTCTCGGCCGTGTTCCTGCGGCCCACTCGGGATGCCTTCGGCGATGCTTCGCCCGGGGCGCTCAGCGACGGAAGGGTTGCCGCGCTGAGGCCGTTGCGCGGTTGCGCGAGCCCCCAGAGATCTACGGCCTGCTTGGGCTGCCGCCCAGGGAGGAGGACATCACGAGGGCCGGCGCGTTGATGACCATCAGGTGTTGCGACGACGCCAAGCTGTGCTCCTCCCTGGCCGGCCCATAGTGTCTGGCGAGCCCAGCCCGTTCCGCTGGGTCGCCATCGTTCTTCGCGCTGCTTGAGGCGGAGGCTTTGGAGGGCTTGGCCAGCATCGAGGACATCGCGAGCAGCGCCCAGATCGGCGCTGCCACCACCTTCCGGGGATCGGTCCATCTGACAAGCAGGCTCCAGACGGCGAGCACCACTGCGAGCTTGAGCAGGCTCGTCGCGGAGGGCATCGGTTCGGCGGTGCGCGGCTCTGCCTCTCAGACTTCTGCGAGGCCGCGCGCGATCCCGGATGTTGGGCCAGAGGTCCGATTTCCCCTTGGTGGCGCAATGGTCACTTTCAGCGCGCGTCTGCGCGGGGCCCGAGACAACCCGAAGCAGCAACGCAATATAGAGGACACGTGCATGGGGGGCATGCGGGACGCTGCGGACGTCGTCGCCCAGATGCCAAGGCACTGCCGTTTGGGGCCTCTGCTCTGCAGGTGCTTCAGCAGCTTCCTCGACCGCCGCCCAGGCGTAGAACGTGACATCCTGCGCGCAGTGTCGGGGTCTGATGGCGGAAAGACCTCGAACGACCTCCCGGGCCCGAAACAGCCAGCGCTGGGCGAGGCCCGCCATGGGCTACAGTGCATTTTGCGCGCAGCGTCCGCGGGCGCGATCGACACGGGCGCATTTTCAACGCGCATTCGGGTGCATTTTCTCCACAGATGGGCGGAGGCGGCCAGCGACCCTGGAGCCGACGCCGCGCGTTGGCTTTGAGAGGGGGCCCCGGCTGGCCTCGAGGCGGACCCGACGGCCGTTGACAAGACTTTTCGGAGCCCGCAGGCGCCGGCTCGTCCAGAGGACCCCGAGTGCACGCACTTGCCACCAGAGGAGTTTGTGAACTACACGTCTTTCGACAAGGGCGCCGAGGCCGAGCAGGAAGTTCAGGAGTTTGTCTCCAAAGGATATCTCCGTGCTGTCGATTTATTGCAGCAGCTCCGGGAGTATCTTGGGGCAGAGCCTGTCGCGTCCCGCTTTGCGGTCAGAGTCCACGAACGACATGGCAAGTATCAGCGGCGCCTGATTCTTGACCTCCGCCAGTCGGGGGTTACGTCGTGTACTAGGCAGACGCACCGTATCGCCCTGCCTCGGGGGTCAGACGCTGTCCGCGACGTCCTCCTCCACATGTGCGAAGGGGGCCGCGAGGGGAGCACCGCGGGCGATGGCATCGAGCTCTTCATCTTGGACATTGTCGATGCTTTCTGGAACATACCATTGTTGTTCGATGAGCGCCGACACTTCATCGGCAAAGTCGGGAAGCAATGCACGGGCGATCAGAGGGCTGCTCAGGGCTCGCGAAACGGCCCGCTTGCGTGGGCAGGTGTCTCGTCGCTGCTACTCCGATGCACGCAAAGTCTCTTCATGCAGACTCCCGCCTGCGGGCCAGCACCAAGGCCCTGCGCAAGACTGCAGCCCTACGTCGACGACCCCTGCACCACGATTCGCAGGCGTAAGCCTGAGAGGGACAGGACCATATGCATTGCCGTAGTTGTCCTTGTGCGGCGGACCATGGGCTTCCACGCGGCGCTCCACAAAGCGCAGCGGGGAACAGTTGTCACTTGGGTATTGAGGGTGCCGGTTCCACGTCTCGGCGCTCAGTGTCACCGTGACCATTTCACAAAAGAAGTGCGACGAGCTCATGGCCACGATCTCTGAGTACCTGGCCAAGAACGTGGTGTTGATCAAGGAGCTTCGCCACTCATTCATCGGCCTTGCGTCGCATTTCGCCACCGTCATCTGGGTGTGGCGCCCGTTCCTGTCCGAGCTCTGGGCGGCGTTCAATCAAGCTCGACACCGAGGGGAAGTGTGAAGGCGCCCCAAAGAAGTGCACATTGACCCGAGTGCTCCGCCACACGCTTCTCTGGCTTCTTGTCTTCATGATGCGCATTGCTGGTTCCATGGAGATCGCGTACACCGCGGAGGCGTTCCTCAACCAAGGCCCCAAGTTGAGGATCGTAGGCGACGCCTCCCCATAGGGCATGGGTGCCTTCCTCATGATAGACGGCGTGATCCTGGAGTGGTACACCACGCCGATCGGGCAGGTCGAGGCGGCCATCCTGTGCCACGACATCGGGTCGCATTTGGGCCAGCAGGCACGGGGGGCCTGGAACCTTTTAGTAGGCCTGCGGACGTGGAAATTTCATTGGCAGCAGGCCAGCGTCACCGTGGAGGTCAGGTCCGACAACGTCTCTGCCCTCACCATGGTGGGTTCCCTTCGGGGGCGAGGGGCCGCGATGAACCTCCTCGCCATGGAGTTCGTGCTTGAACTTGGTGACGCGTCCTTCAAGCCGGACTTCTGCGTACACTCCCCGGGGGTCGCGAGCAAGGTGGTCGATGCTCTCAGCAGCAGGGTCCAGCAAGGCGCGTCGTTCTCGGTCCCCGCCCTGCTCGCTGAGGCCCGCGAGATCGCCCTGCCCGCCTGCCCGCGAGAACGACCGATTTCTTCCACGCGCTGGACAACGCCGCGCTGCTGTCGGCCAGAGAGATGGGCGTCGTCCAGTAGACTGAGCTGGCGGGACATCCAGCGAGCGCTGAAGCTTCTCATTCCCAGCTCTCCCGTGGCGGGGTTCTTGTTCTGAATAGAGCACTGCTGTTCCTTGGCCTTGGCACGTCACGGGGTCGTTTGTCTCCTCCTTGTCTCCCCCTCCTTGAGCGCTTCGTGACGCCGCCAGGCGTCGGGGGGTTCGGGAGGTTCTGACGAACTTTCGCCGGAGCTTTCTATGCGCGCCTGCGTCTGCAGGGGCAGTCTGACGCCATCTGCCTCAGGCTGATGCCGGGCTCGAGGCGAAAACTCCTTTGGGCTGGTTCGGATCTCAAGGACGTCGTCTGGGCCTCCCCAGTCTCATCCTCCTCCTCCTCTGGTTTCCCCTATCCTTCGCCCCCATCCCTGCGTCCGCTCTTCGGGCCGGTAGTTCGGCCACGTGCCGGAAGTGCCACCCCAGACGGATGTGGACGCCGGGGGCGGTTGGGAGGTCAGCCGGAGGAGGGCAAGGAAAATCATGGAGATCGAGTTCTTGCACGCGCTCGATGGCAGAACAATCGCCCAGCTGCTTCTGCTGCTGCCCCTGCTGCTGACGCGGCTGCTCCGAGCACCTCGTGGCGCAGGGGCGTTCTGTACTGCTCGCTCCCCCCCCGTCATGGCAGCAGGCGTGATCTCTTATTGAGGAGAAGGCGGCCGGGCAACTTCGGGAGGGTTGTAGTCTATAGCAGTTCTTCGCAGTCATTACAACTCGCGCAGTGCGGTGGCAGGTGGGTTTCTCCGATCGCGTTCGTAACCATTTTGGCTCACAGAGCGGTTACAGCGTTGCAGATTTTGACCCCCCCACCCACAACCTGAACCAGCAGTGGTCTGACCAACCAGGGCTGGTTCGGATCTCAAGGACATCTTCTGGGTCTCCCCAGTCTCGTCCTCCTCCTCCTCTGGTTTCCCCTGTCCTTCGCCCCCATCCCTGCGTCCGCTCTTCGGGCCGGCAGTTCGGCCACGTGCCGGAAGTGCCACCCCAGACAGATGTGGACGCCGGGGGCGGTGTCTGGGAGGTCAGCCGGAGGAGGGCAAGGAAAATCATGGAGATCGAGTTCTTGCACGCGTTCGATGGCAGAACAATCGCCCAGCTGCTTCTGCTGCTGCCCCTGCTGCTTATGCGGCTGCTCCGAGCACCTCGTGGCGCAGGGGCGTTCTGTACTGCTCCCCCCCCCCCCGTCATGGCAGCAGGCGCGATCTCTTATCGAGGGGAGGGCGGCCGGGCGGCAACTGCGGGAGGGTTGTAAGGGAGGGCCCCCGAGGGTTGGTCCCTGAGGGGAGCCGAGAGGAGGGTGACCGAGGGGAGGTCCCCGAGGGCCGAGGGGGATCTCCGACGGTGGGTCTCCGAAGGGAGGTCACCGAGGGAGGGTCCCCGAGGCGGGGTCCCAGGGGGGGGGGTCCGAGGTGAGGTTCCTGAGGGGGGTCCTCGTCGCCACTGCGGGATTCGCATCGCAATCCTGGTCAGAACCCCCTCCCCGGAGAGTTCGGGGAGCAGCAGCATGGGTACCTTTGTGTGTTTTCCCTACCTGAGCATTTTTCGTGCTCTTGACATTCCACTCGCTTAGGCTCAGCCTTAGTGGGCCCTGGAAACGACAGGGCCGTTTTTTTTACCTGTTCCGTTTTGCCGTTTTTGTTGCCGGTTCCGACGCCGTTTTTTTACCGGTTCCGTCGCCGTTTTTTGACCGGTTCCAGTTCCGGTTCCAATCCTGGAGCCGTTTTTTTGCCGTTTCCGGTCGCCGTTTTTTTGCCGTTTCCATTTTCAAGGGACATTTTTTTGGGAAGCGGTGGAAAGCCGGCCCTGCCATTTCCGGGGCCCACAAAGGGCTCAGCTGGGATTCAGCTAGCCCCGGAGACGTGTCTTGGGGCTGCCCCAGCAGGCAGCCAAGCAGCCTCAGAGATGCCCCCTCGAGGGTCGCACGGTGGCCCTCGAGGCAGCTCCAGGACCCGCCCGAGACCACAAGGCGGCCCACTGCTGAGCCCATGGGATCTCAACACGGTGTCTCCCCAGATGGCCCCAGGCAGTCAGTAAGTGGGCCGTGCATCCTGAGGACGCGTAGGCAAAAGAGCACATAAAAAGTTCGGGTGGTGCGCCAAAAGCGTCCCACATGCAGTCAAGAGCAGCCCGCCAAACGCGAGGGTGGTGCGCCAAACACACACACACGAGTCACAAACTTGCAAATACTTTTTTTGCCCATTGTTGTCTTGGTCGGCCTACGAAGTCGCCAAGAGGCCCCAGGCCTGCCGAAGTCCCCAAGAGATGCCCCCCCGAGGCTTTCGCTGCCACCTTGCCAGGCGAGGGGCGGCGCTGCATCAGCAGCTCGATTGGAAGGCACGACGTGCGCAGACTCACTACCACTGTGCAGGACGTCTCAGAGTCTGCTGCTCGAGTGGTAGTGCAGAGCGGCCACGTGGTAGACTCTGGCGACTCGGTTTCCATAGTGGGCTTGGTGGGGAATCGCCAGCCCTCGCTTCCCGAGTGTCCCGCTGCTGGCACGAACCCCCCAGCTGCCATTCTTTTGTGGAGGTTTCGACCGTTTCTGCTCTCCCTCACAACGGAGGGGGAGCAGGCCGAATTGCTAGGCAACGAGCCTGCGCTATCCCTGGATCATCGCATGGTCCAACAACCAGGGATCATTTCTGTGCACGCTTCGATCGCCTCGCAAGCAGCGCGTTGCACAGCGTTTTTGAATCAGCGCTGCCTGGGGTCAGACGTAATGTCAGCATCCGGCAGGCTGAGTTTCGCCCTCCGTCCTGCTTCTCCTCGCCACCACGGCACTGCTGTGGAATGTCGGGCCTGCGTCTTTCTCGCTGGGCAGGCTGGGACCAGGATGTTGTATCTGCTGCGCTTGATCGCCGTGCGCTCGTCAGCATGTGCGCCGCCCCTAGCCCGATATGGGACGAACGTCAGTGTGTCTCTGACCCGCAGTTTCCCCGCAGTGCCGATCGATCGGGCTGACGGTGGCCTCCTCGTGTTACATATTCTGCCAAACTAATAAAGTAGCCAGCCAGCGTAGACCCCAAGCATTGTCTTTGTAGCAGCCGACCTTGTGCAACCAACTTTGACGCAATGTATATTGCGCAATTATGTGGCACAGTATCTGATGTGCAACCAATGTTGTGCAACAGATGTTGTGCAAGAGTGGTTGTTCCGTATTGTTTGAGCAACCTATGTGGTTCAACTCATTTGCTCATTTTGTTGTCCTCTCCACTGCCCGTGCAAACATCCACCCTCCCACCTGCAACTTGGTCGCAAGACCTCTTAAGACCGTGACGGGTGGTACCAGATGGTACTTGACAACGGCACCGACGACGACACGAACGACGACGCCGACAACGGCTACGACGACATCGACGACGTCTCCAATGACTTCGACGACGACGACGACAACGACGACTACGACGACAACACCGACGACGACGACGCCGACGCTGACGACGACGATGACAACGCCGACGACGGCGACGATTCCGCCGACGACGACGACGACAACGCCGACGACGACGACGACGACGAAGGCGACGACGGCGACGACGACGACAACGACGTCGCCAACGAAGACGACGACGAAGACGACGAGGGAGGAGGGAGCACGACGACGGCGACGACGACAACGACGAGGGAGGAGGGAAGACGACGACGACGACGACGACGGCGACGAAATAGGAGGGACAACGACGAAACGCCGACGAAGGCGACGAGGGAGGAAGGACGACCACGGCGACAACGACGACGGAAACGACGACGACGCCAGGACGACGACGACGACGAGGAAAGACAGAGGACGACCACGGCGACGACGACGACGACGAGGGAGGAGGGAGGACGGCGTCAACGACGACGACGACGCAAGAGCGCGCGCAAAAGCTGTTGAAAATCCGTGTTGCCAAACCTTGTGTTTTTGTATGTTTTTGGACGCATGATTTTGAAATCCTTCCGAAACCGATTGGTTTTTGGAGGATTTCGGCATGCGCGCGCGACGACGCGCGCGTCTGCACTTCGTCTTGTTTTTTGCAGAGGATTCTCGCGACGGTACGCGCGCAAGGGTGTTCGAGAGATTTCGACATGCGCGCGCGCGAAGCCCCTTTGGTTCCCCAATTAGAGCTTGCCTCTGTAGGGGCCCTCGCGGATTCATATGGTTAGGTTAGCGTGGCCGCCGATTTTCGCTGCACGCCCGGGTGCCCGGGTGCCCGGGGGCCCCCGGGGGTGAGGTTGGCCGCCGATTTTCGTTGCACGCCCGGGTGCCCGGGGGCTGCCCGGGGGTGCCCGGGTGCCCGGGTGCCCGGGCGTGCAGCCCAGTAGCCATATAGTCCATAGCCCTATAGCCCTCTATCTTTATAGACGATTATAGACTATTGGAATATTTAAAAAGACTCAGATTGGGTTCCTCTTCGGTATCATAGCATTTTTGTTGAAAGCATTTGGAAACGCATGATGTTCTTAAGATGTCGCAAGAGCGCGAGCGTAAGCTTGTTTAGCAAATCGGTGTTGCGAAACCATGTTTTTTCTGTTGTTTGGACACTCGATCTTGAAATCCTTCCGAAACCGAAGGTTCTTAAAAAGGAATTCGGCATGCGCGCGCGAGGACGCGCGCGTTTGTACTTCGTCCCGTTGTTTTGTTTGCCAGGGGTTTTTGAAAACTTATGATTCTTGATGAACGAGAGCGCGCGCAGTGTATTTTTTGCAAAGGACGGCGGGGGGGGAGTGATACTGGCTTGGCTGGGATAGTACGAATACATATTTTGTATGGGCGAGGGGCAGAATCATATGTAAATTGGAATACGAAAAGGTGGATCGTTAACTCCGGGGGAAGGGTCGTTTTTTGTGGGGGGAAGGAGACTTTATATGGTGAGCTATACATTGTGCAGTTTAGGTTATGCATCATATGTGGTGCAATCTATGTGCTGTATTGAATTTCTGTTCGCAGTAAGTTGCTCACTCCACTTCTCGCGCAATCATCCCACCCACCCACCAGCAACTTGGTGCACAACCCATGTGGCGGAGATTGGCATGATTGCTTGGAGTTGGCTGGTGCATCTCTGCGGCCGCGCTAGTCCGCACATTCTCTCGCGCGCAGCGGCCTGCTAGTTTGGCGCGACCGACGCGGCCGCGGTGGCGTTGACCGCTGGGCAGTTCCCGGCGGGCACTGCAATGCGAGTCGGCGACTCGGGCGGGCGCGGTATCACAGCAACGTCGACAACGGTAGACGCGATGAGTATGAGGATGATGGTGATGATGATGATGATGATGATGATGATGAGGATGATGGTAGCAATGTTGGTGACGATGGCAACGCCGACGTCCTAGGACAATGACGGCACCGATGCAAATCACGCCGACGACGATGGCGGCGTCCCCGCGTGGGTGATGAAAGTTTTTGGAGAGAGGGACATGCGCGCGCGGCCGACGCGCGAGAGTGGTTCGCATGGCGTTTTTTGACACGGATCGTGCCCGCTCAGCCCGCGCGCAAGGGTGTTCGAATGATTTCGACGTGCGGCGCGAAGGATCCGTTTGGCAGAATCGAATGAGAATGTTGAAAAACCTGGGGGGGGCAGCGCAGGCATTGTTGAAACATGACGTTGCAACCACTGTGATTTTGCATGTTTTCGGGGCGTTCGATTTTGAAACCCCTACGACACGCAAGGTTGTTGCAGGATTTCGGCATGCGCCCGCGGCGACGCGCGCGTGCGCACGTCACCCCATGCGCCGCAAGGGATTATTGCAACAGCTCGCGCGCAAGGGCGTTCGAACGATTCCGGCGCGCGTGCGCGAGCGGCCAATTTGGTAGCACGTTCTGAAACATATTACAACACCAGCGGTTTTTACGATTTCGTAAGAGCCCGAGTGCGCGTTCTTTTTTTTCGGAATTTTTTATTGCGAAGCCATGCTGGTTTTTTTCATGTAGTTGGGGCAGTCGATTTTGCAATCTTGAGGGCGCCTAGGATTTGTGAATGGTGTCGGCATTCGCGCGCGCGCGCACTTCGTCGCATTTGTTGCAAGGGGTTTTTGCGACAACACGCGCGCAAAAAAAGGCGATCAAGCGATTCCGACACGCGCGCATTGGGAACGCTTGGTATCAAGTGATGAACATGTCGAATACAACCGATGGTTTTCTCACGGATTCGCAAGGACCCGGGCGCAAACTTTTCCCAACCATCGTGTGGTGTTGGGTCCTCGTTTTGAGGAGACAGTGCCCCGCATTCCTCTCCTGTTTTCCTGTGTTCCTCCTCCACTACTGATCCGGGCCCCTCCCCCTCCTCAGCAGTTTGCATGCGTCTCCCCCACCCAGTACAACGCTTAGTGGCCCCATAGGGAGCTCCACCGAAGGTCTCACTGGCGCAGGCTGCGTACGGTTCCTACGCCCAGTACAGCGTGTCGTGCACCCAGAGGGAGCTCCACCGAAGGTCCCACGGGCGCACTCCGCATGCGGTTCCCGCGCCCACTACAACGCTTCGTGGCCCCAGGTGGGGGGTTCCACCGAATGTCACAGTGGCGCAACCCGCGTGCGGTCCGTGCGCCCAGTTCAGCGCTTCGTGCCCCCAGGAGGAGCTCCACCGAAGGTCCCAGTGGCGCAGCCCGCATGCGGTTCCTGCGCCAAGTTCAGCGCTTCGTGGCACGAGAGTGAACTCCACCGAAGGTCACAGAGGCGCACTCCGCATGCGGTTCCTGCGCCCAGCACAACGTTTCGTGGCCCCAGAGGGAGCTCCTCCAAAGGTTCCAGTGGCGCAGTCCGCATGCGGTTCCTGCGGCCAGTGCAGCGTTTCGTGGCCCCAGGGGGAGCTCCACCGAGGATCCCAGTGGCGCAGTCCGCATGCGGTTGCTGCGCCCAGTGCAGCGTTCCGTGGCCCCGGAGCGAGCTCCACCGAAAGTCTCAGTGGCGCAGTCCACATGCGTATCCTGCGCCAAGTACAGCGCTTCGTGGCACGAGAGTGAGCTCCACCGAAGACCCCAGTGGCGCAGTCCGCATGCTGCCCCTGCGCCCAGTACCGCGCTTCGTGGCCCCAGAGGCAGCTCCACCGAAGATCCCAGTGGCGCAGTCCGCATGCGGTTCCTGCGGCCAGTGCAGCGTTTCGTGGCCCCAGAGGGAACTCCACAGAGGGACCCACTGGCGCAGGCTGCATGAGTATCCTGCGCCCAGTACAGCGCTTCGTGTCCCCAGAGGGAGCTCCACCGAGGATCCCAGTGGCGCAGTCCGCACGCGGTTCCTGCGCCCAGTTCGGCGCTTCGCGTCCCCAGGGAGAGCTCAACCGAAGGTCCCTGTGGCGCAGTCCGCATGCGGTTATTGTGCCCAGTACGGCGTTTCGTGGCCCCAGAGGGAGCTCCACCGAAGGTCCCAGTGGCGGAACTCGCATGCGGTTCTTGCGCCCAGTTCGGCGCTTCGCGTCCCCAGGGAGAGCTCAACCGAAGATCCCAGTGGCGCAGTACGCATGCCGTTCTTCGCCCAGTACAGCGCTTCGTGACCCCAGAGCGACCTCCACGTAAGGTTCCAGTGGCGCAGTCCGCATGCGGTTCTTGCGGCCAGTGCAGCGCTTCGTGGCCCCAATGGGAGCTCCACCGAATGTCACAGTGGCGCAGTCAGCATGCGGCCCCTGCGCCCAGCACAGCGCTTCGTGGCCCCAGAAGAACTCCACCGAGGGTCCCAGTGGCACAGTCCGCATGCGTTTCTTGCACCGAGTAGAACGTTTCGTGGCCCCAGGGAGAGCTCCACCGAAGGTCCCTGTGGCGCAGTCCGCATGCGGTTCTTGTGCCCAGTACGGCGTTTCGTGGCCCCAGAGGGAGCTCCACCGAAGGTCCCAGTGGCGGAACTCGCATGCGGTTCTTGCGCCCGGTACAGCGCTTCGTGGTCCCAGAGGGAGCTCCACCGAGGGTCCCGGTGGCGCAGTTCGCATGCGGTCCGTGCGCCCAGTTCAGCGTGTCGTGCCCCCAGAGAGAGTCCCACCGAAGGTCCCAGTGGCGCAGTCCGCATGCGGTTCCTGCACCCATCATAACGTTTCG